GTGCTGGGATTACAGGCGTGAGCCACCGCGCCCGGCCCTAATTTTTGTATTTTTAGCAGAGACGGGGTTTCACCATATTGGCCAGGCTGGTCTCAAACTTCTGACCTCGTGATCCACCTGCCTTGGCCTTCCAAAATGCTGGCATTACAGGCGTGAGCCACTGCGCGTTGCCTTTTTTTATTTTTAGTAGAGACAGGGTTTTACTATGTTGACCAGGCTAGTCTCAAACTGCCGACCTAATGATCTGCCCACCTCAGCCTCCCAAAGTGCTGGGATTACAGGGGTGAGCCACTGTGCCTAGTCCTTGCCTGCCTATTAAAGACAGTTTGGAAAATAATGGAAAAAGAAAAAGATTGTTTATAACCTTAACCCAGTCCCAACCACAACGACACTATGAGATATTTTGTTCTCTTACCCTGTAACAAGAGTTATGCTTGTTTCTTAAGTAGTTTGTAATCACACTACAAGTACAGTGCTAAATTCTTTGTTTTCGGCTTATGTTGTAGATATTTACACATAACTTTATACTTTCTCTGTATTCTGACAGCTGGAGAGGAGATATCTGAGTTTACTCACCTTTTCCTGCACAGCAGGATATTCTTGCCTTTTCCTTTTTCTCACTATTAATAAAAATACTGTTGCATGTATTTCAGAATACTTCCTGTGGATAGATTCCCCTGAAGTAGAATCACTGAGTCAAGGATAATTCACACAAAGTCAAATTTACCCTTTTTAGGTGTAAAATCGTATAGCCACCCTCACAATCAAGATAGAGATGATTTCCATCACCCTGGAAAGTTTCCCAGCATGCCTTTGTCATTCATCTCCTCCCATGACCCTAAGCCACTTTGGCAACTACTGACCTGTGTTCTGTCCCTATATTTTTGTCTTTTTCTGGATACTATATGAATGGAATTAGCCTTTTGAGTCAGGCCTTTTGCCCTTAATGTAATGTTTTTGAGATTCATCCATGTTGTGGTGTGTTATCAGTAGTTTGTTGCTTGTTCCTTTTTATTACAGCATAGTGTTTAATTGTATGGATGTACTATAATGTGTCTATTCACTACTGATGGACATTTGGGTTGTTTTTAGTTTTTCATGATTGTGTATATCATTTTTATAAATATTTGCATAGAGGTTTTTATTTGAGCATAAAGTTTCATTTCTCTTGGGTAAATACCAAAGAGTGGAATTGCTGGATTAATAGTTAGTGGATATTTAACTTTATAAGAATCTGTCAAACTTTTCCAAAGTTGGTGAAAGGATTTGTAGTTTCATAGGTAATTATGAGAGTTGTAATCATTCCACAGCTTTATCAGCACTTGTTATTGCCAGAGTTTGTTTGTTGGTTTGCCATTCAAATAATGATCTAATGGCTATCTTGCTGTGGTTCAGATTTGCATTTCCTTAATGATAAATGATGTTGAGGACCTCTTCATGTGCTTGTTTCTACCCATATCTCTTCTTCAGTAAATTGCCTGTGCAAATCTTTTGACCACTTTTTAAATTCAGTTGCTTGGTTTTTTTCTTAGTGACTAATGAGAGTTCTTTATATATTCCATAAACAAATCCTTTATTAGATTTTTTTTCAAATATTTTCTCTTAGTCTGTGTCTTGTCATTTCCTTTTCTTAACAGTATTTTTCAAAGACGATTTTGAACAAATAACTTTTTGTTTTAATGAAGCCCAGTTCATCCATTTTTTATCCTATGAATCACCTTATCCAAGAAATCCTCGCCTATGCCACAGTCACAAAGATTTTCTGACAGGTTTCCTTAAGAGGTTTTATAGCTTTAGGTCTACCTTTAGATCAGTGATCCACTTAGAGTTAATTTGTGTGTGTGGTGAGAAGTATGTGTTGAACTTCATTTTTTTTTTTTTTTTGCATATGGATATCCCGTTGTTCCAGTATTCTCTGCTGAATTGATTAGATATGTGTGAATCTATTTCTGTTTTATCTATCCCGTTCCACTGATCTATGCCTTCTGTAATTGCATGGATTTTGTCATCACCACAGCCTTGATTACTGTAGTTTTGTAATAAGAAGTCTTGACCTAAGATAAGTCCTCCAACTTTGTTCTTCTTTTCAAAATTGTTTGGCTAGTTTCCATTGCTTACAATGTCATATAAATTTTAGAATCAGCTTGCCATTTTCTCAAAAAGGCCTTCTAGGCTTTTGATGTGATTGTGTTAAATCTATAAATCAATTTGCAGAGAGATGGCATCTCAACACCATTGGCTTTTCCAGTCCTGAAATGATATCTGTCCATTTATTAAGGTCTCTGATTTTCCTTAAGGTTCTTAATACATTTTGTCAAATTAAAAGTTGGTTTTCTGCTTCCTTGCTGTGGTGTTTAGCACATGGCTGTGCCCTTGTGGATAACAGATTCACGTTTCCTGCAAAAAACTCTACTAGTTTACACTTTCTCTCAATTGTGCTTTATTTCCCAGGCATCTGGCCCCCTCTTTTCCACATTCCATGGCTTATAATAGATTGCCTTATTTATTTAATAGGTTTTAACTCTTTATCAAAATATACATACAGAAAACTATATAGTTATATATATATTTTCATATGTAGTTATATATAGTTTATATATACAGTATACATCTTGGTAAATGTTCACAGGTGAAAATACCCAGTCAAGAAACAGAACATCACCAGTACTCTGGAAGCCTCTTTGTGCCCCTTCCAATCCTGCCAGCAAGAGGAGCCATTATCCCAGCTCCATAGTAGTTCTGTTATGGCTAAGCATTTATTGCAGTAAGCGACCTTCTAGGCTGTCACTCCAGGTTCCTAAAATGTTCCCGGCCTCCTCATTGTGCTTCTTTCCCTTCCGAGATTCTGTTAGCACCTAGAATGCCCACTCCTTCTGCCTTCTCCTTCCTTATTTCTTCTTTCAGCTTTCTTTAAATTTTTTAAAAATTATTTATTTTTATTTATTCATTTTTTTTTTTACAGACAGGATCTTGCTCTGTTGCCCAGGCTGGAATATAGTGGCATGATCATAGCTCACTGCAGTCCCAAACTGCTGGGCCCAAGTGATCCTCCTGCCTCAGCCTCCTGAATAGTTAGGACTACAGGTGCACATCTCCATGGCTGGCTAATTTTTAATTTTTTTTTTTTTTAAAGATGGGGTCTCCCTATGTTGCCTCGGCTGGCCTTGAACTCCTGGCCTCAAGCCATCCTCTCACTTGAATGGATGGTTCAAAGTATTGGGATTCCAGGTGTGAGCCATTGCACCCTTTTCCAGCTTCCTTGAAGTGTCCTCCTCACTTTTCCAGCTCAGTTTAAGTTTCGCCTGTGCTGGGCAGCCTCTCCCTTTTCCTCCTCTCCCTAGCTTCCATTAGCATTGGACTTTCCTTCATTAACACTCCTGTCATGGTGTATTGAAGTTGCTGTTTCCATTTGACTGTAAGATCTTTGAGGTCTGCAATTAGCTTTTCTCTGGACCCAGTGCCTTCTATGGGGCCTGGCATGCAGTAAGAGATAAATGATTGAATGTTGGGTGAATATTGAGTGTCTGGGAAACTGATTCCCCAAAAGGTTAATCCCTTTGCTCACAATAGGTCTGCTGGCTGTCAGTCCTCACTGTCTTCTTTTCAGACTTCTTTTCCTCCTTATGTTGGCTGATTCTTTTGTGATTTATTTATTTTTTATTTCCATGCTGCCCCTAGAGCCAGTGAGAAAATATCATAGCTCTTTTGGCTATTTTATCCACCATTATGATGATAAGTAAGGGAGGATGATACCCTCTATTCTTCATCTTTTATAAGAGCAATAGCTTTTAACCTGTAAGGTCTATGAATCCAGTCTCCTATTTCAGTAGCAAGTGTGCAGGTATAGAAGACTTTCCGCAGCGGTTAAATCCTTCATATCTTCACGCTGCCACCGACACATTTTGAGATGCCCCCTCGCCGTTACTAAGAAGGCAGCCATATCCCAGTGTTTGTTGCTCTGTATCAGGATCTAGCTGCTCCTAAAAATGATGCCTGGGAGTGTTTTTGTGTAGAGTTGGCACCGCAGTGGCTGAGTATGAAAAATGCAGAGTCCAGCCTGAAGACTGGATAAATTCCAGATCGTGGAGCAGTAAAGGGAGAAAAGGGATCTCATTGACTTTAAACACCACCGTGGCTCAAGTAATGATTGGAGTGGTTTACATCTACCAGAATAGATGGCAGGTTTTACCAAACCCTAAGAAGACAACCCCACCTATTGGTCATTTGAGTGCTCTGTTCTGATTGACTCAGGTCTAATTGGGGGACTGAAGTGGTCACTTAACCATCATCTTAGTCTAGCCCAGCCAACCAGGGGATGTTGATGGGGGAGCAGGTGGCGGGAAGGTTAAAGGTTGTTCTGGGGAAGGAAGAATAGCTGAGGCTAAAGAGGGAAGCGTCCAGGAGGAGCTGTCCTCAGGGGTCATTGAAAGGAGAAGATCAGAGTATGCTGGGCTGGAGGGGGGAGTTCCAGGTACATGGGCCAAAGTGGGCAAAGGCTTGGACATGTATCTATGTGTGTTTGGGCTTCTCCAGTCCAGGCTGTGTCTCTTCAGAGCCTCTGTGGAATCCCTCCCCAGTGGTTTTGTGAGTATGCCCCAGGTACACATGGCAAGGGGAATGCCTCTGATTTAGGCCATGACTCCTGGAGATGGGCCAGTGCCCTGCATGACCAGGGCAGGACTGGGCAGGAAGACCGGTGTACCCATCCACCTTCTGTCCTTCAGGAGAAGATTGGCTGGCGAAAAGATGCACTGCATTTGCTGGTGTTCACAACGGATGATGTGCCCCACATCGCACTGGATGGAAAACTGGGAGGCCTGGTGCAGCCACACGACGGCCAGTGCCACCTGAATGAGGCCAACGAGTACACTGCATCCAACCAGATGGTGAGTGCTGGGGACCAGACCCCCCACTCCCTGATGCCTCTCCTGTGACCCTGCCCTTGGTCTGAGTACTCACCCAGCCTTGAAACCTTCCTCTGGCCCTCAGTATTCACTGGCTTTCTGATCCATTCTTGGTGTTGGGTTTCAATATTCCATCTTCTCCACCTGGGTTTTTGGAGCCCCTCATTGACTGACAACATTTCTCAGGGATTTCTGTAGCTGGTTCATCTTTCTGCCAATGTGCATCTAAATGGGGAGTGTTGGATTGGGATACAGGTGGCCCAGGGGAAACAGGATAGTTCTCATAGTGGGGAGGGGATCTTAAAGGAGGGTGGGTGCTATGCTCCCGCAGAGGTTAAAACTGGGATGGCAGTTATAGGGCATGACTTCCTGATGTCTAGAAATGGGCTTCCAGAGGTGTGAGCTGCCTGTCAGCGTCAGGAGTGGACAGAGGTGTTCTGCACGGAATGGGAGGTCCCAAGGACCCTCTACTCCCAATGGTCTATAACCACAACTATGCATTTTAAAAGAATTTTTTCAAAATTTCAAACATTCTTAATAATAGACCAGCAAAATGAACCCCACATGCCTATCACCCAGACCGAACAGTGATCAAGATCTCGCATACTTACTATGCAATTTTTCCTCCAAAATCTGCACCCTTTTCTTTCTCAAATCCATTCTGGTGGCCAAAGAGGAATTCTTCCCAATTTTCTTTCCTAGAAAAGCCCGTTTTCTCCAGTTTCAAGAGGTGGTCAGTGCTCAAGCCTTCCATCTTGTCTAGGAATAATGGAATCTGAAAAAAGGATTGTAACTGTAGGACCTCACCAGATGCGGACTCCCATACCCATCAGTCCTAGAAATCCCTTAGGTCGCTGTTAAACTGCCTCTCACCTTCCTCTCTTCCTCCTTTCTCTGCACCTCTGCCCCATGGGACAACTTTTAGTCCAGAGCTTGGCTACCTCCTCTGCCTGTCTGAGCCACAAGCAGGACCTGCGGGGCATGTTGGCAGGCCTAACGTTTAGGCATAGGAGATGGAAAATATAGGGCAAGGAGGCGGGGAGGAAAAGTTTTAAAGGACAGAGGAAAGAGGTAAGAAGCGCTGATGGCAGAGGGCAGGATGTGGTGGCTATTCTCTATGGTGTCCCCACTCATTCCCCTCCCTGCTGAAAGGATGGAGACACACACCAGATATGGAAAACCTCCACTCATCACCTCTCCACTCTGAGGTGGGAGGAGTGAATCTGGTTTGGTGGATGCCAGAGGGTCCTTTCCTTGAGGGTCTCCTCTACTCAGCTCCTCAGTTCAGGATCTGCCAAGGAGGCTTGGTTATTAAGGGACTCTAAGGGCCCACCTAAGGAAAAGGTGCTTCCATGGCAAATGCTGGCTGCTGAGTGTGCATTGCAGCCAGGCATGGTGTGCTCATGTAAGCTCGCCTCTTTTACATTCTTTGTTAGGAATGTCACAACCTTGACTTTTGCCTTTGCCCTAGGACTATCCATCCCTTGCCTTGCTTGGAGAGAAATTGGCAGAGAACAACATCAACCTCATCTTTGCAGTGACAAAAAACCATTATATGCTGTACAAGGTATGCTGAGAGGGAGGGAGGCTAGTGGTTTAATTCTGGGGGCCAAGCTGACCCTAAGGTGACTGGGAGATTAGAATGTGGGGTAGGGTGAAAGGGGTGGTGAGGAGTGTTTACAACCCTGCCTGTATGGGGGAAATTCAAAGGAGGGGTGGAATATAGCCCAGTCTTGGTCTAATGGAAAATAACAGGAGGAAACAATTAAGCATTCGCATAGCAGTGTATACGTTACAAGAAATTTGAACATATAGAATCTAATGTGATTCTGAGAAAAACCTTGAAAATAGCATGAATTCCCATTTTTGGGTGATGAAATGGAAACAGAGAGAGGCTCACTCTAATAGAGAAGGGAAATATAAAATGAAGATATAAACAAAGAAAAGTAAGGCATCTCATCAGGCTACATCGCTAATCCCAGTATTCCAGAGCTTTATGCCTGAGCCTGCAGACTATAGGAGACCAGTGGGCCAGTCTGACGCAAGAATTCCCACAGAAACCAATAAATGTGCTGAGTGAAAGAGCAATCTATGTATGGATCTGTTCCGTCTAAAGAAACTGTTCCTGGGTCACCTCAGATTATCTTCAGAAACTCCCCTCATGAACGTGCTCCTTCTCACAGTCACAGATGGGCCACGTTTGAATTACAAATCTCCCCAGCGTGCTCATGAAAGCTAAATGTATGCTTGCCTTTTTTACATGGTGAGGCAATGAGAACTTAATCTGGAATCCCTCTCTACCCTCCACCCACAGAACAGCTGGCCATAGTTCCCTCTCCTTTTTTTTTTTTTTTTTTTGAGACGGAGTTTCACTCATGTTGCCCAGGCTGGAGTGCAATGGCGCGATCTCGGCTCACCACAACCTCTGCCTCCTGGGTTCAGGCAATTCTCCTGCCTCAGCCTCCTGAGTAGCTGGGATTACAGGCACGCACCACCATGCCCAGCTAATGTTTTTTGTATTTTTAGTAGAGACGGGGTTTCACCATGTTGACCAGGATGATCTCGATCTCTTGGCCTCGTGATCCACCTGCCTCGGCCTCCCAAAGTGCTGGGATTACAGGCTTGAGCCACCGCACCCGGCAGTTCCCTCTCCTTCTTGTTCTTAAATGTCCACAAAAGAACCTTTGTCTGATTGTATTTTTCTATTACTCCTGCCTGAGGTTGTCACTGATAAAATGCCACTTACATTTTCTTAAGTTCTTTATCCTCCTTTAGTCCAAATCAACTTTAGAAGATGAAGCAAGGGAAAAGGATTGTTTTTCTTTTTTGTTTAGTGGAAGACAGCAGGATAAAGCCTATTCAGGGCATGGTGGTGCATGCCTGCAATCTCACCTACCAGGGAGGCTGAGGCAGGTGAATCTCTTGAACCCAGGAGGCAGAGGTTGCAGTGAGCTGAGATTGTGCCACTATACTCCAGCCTGGGGGACAGAGCAAGACTCCTTTGCACAGAAAAAAAAAAATGCCTATTCACTTACAAATAACGTTTTAAGGTGGAAGAAGTCCACCTTGGCTTAAGCGTCCTTCCTCAGAGCTAAATACATCTTGCTTGGGGAGGGGGCCCACCCAGTCCCAAGGCAGGTGGAAGGCAGTGGATGTGTCTGTCACTGTTAGAAGTGGCAGACTTGGGAGTTAGTACAGATGAAAGAAGAAAGGTGGGTACTTCAAGGCTGCCCCTTTGCCACAGGACCTCAGAGGTCCTTGGGAGGCCACCAGCTGTATCTCAGCTTCCTAGAGATTAAAGAAAGGACCTATACTTGAGACCCTTGGAAAAGTTACCCTTTTCACTCCTTCTGAACAGATTGAGCAGATCCTGAAAGCTGAACCTGGAAATGCCTCAGATTCCAGGGGAGAGATGGCAAGAAACTCTCAGGAACTGTCAACCTTAAAGGGTGGGCTTTTAGAGAGCTGTCCATTACCGTGGGAGAGGAGGCATCTCAAGACATTATCCTGTAGGGAAAGATCTTGTGAGCCCCTTTCCTGTGGATCTGTAGGGCTGGATATTCCATGGCCTACTGCAGCAACTGTTCACCCATGCCATTTCTTCTTGCCGTTCCCTGTGGCATCTTCTTCAATTCATGGTGGGAGAGGGTGGCAGGATATGGTACCAGGAGCCTTTACTGGTCTAGCCCAGTGTAGCAAAGCTCACTTTGACAGTTGGCAGGGCAAAATGAACTTATTTCTTTTCTTTACTTTTTCTCCCAAGAATTTTACAGCCCTGATACCTGGCACAACGGTGGAGATTTTAGACGGAGACTCCAAAAATATTATTCAACTGATTATTAATGCATACAACGTAAGTCACCAGCCTCTTCCCCCACTGCCACCTGCACTCCACCCCCTCCCACTGAGGTCCCGCAGCCGCCATGGGCTCAGGTGGGCGGTTCGCTGTGCTACTCTGCTTGGCTCTGCTCCCCCATCCCCTCAAGTTTGGTGTCTTCTTCTGCTTCACTCAGGGTCAGGGTGGAGAAGCCCATCCTGCATGATGCGTCTCCCTCTCACCTCTGCCATCTTGACTCTCATCTGCACATCTCAGTGAGCCAGGGAGTAGCTCAGACTCAGGCTGGTGGCCTAGGAAGTGCTTAGGTTCTGACACCTCTTGTGGGCCACAGTGGTATTCTCCACCAACCCAGTGCCCAGGCTAACCCTGCCACCGTATTCCCTGTGTGAGGGAGCAGAGCACCGAGAGCCCCAGGCCCATGCTGCAAGATGTGAAAAGCTTGCACACTGAGCTCACCTCCCAGTGGCAGGACGGGAGTCCCTCAGGCTCATGGAGCTCAGCGTAGAGCTGCAGACTAACATGGGAAAGGAGAATCATTTTTTTGTTTTCAATTTAAAAATATAGAGTCAGAGATAGGGTCTCACTATGTTGCCCTGGTTGGTCTGCTCTCAAACTCCTGGAAGCAGTCCTCCCACATCAGCTTCCCAAAATCTTGGCTTTACAGGCATGAGCCATCACGCCTGGCCAAAGAATCAATGTTTTGCCTGCCTACTTAGGACATGATTGTAATCAAGTCTTTTCAGAGGGTTTGTGAATGGGGCTGTTAAATTCTATGCTGTTGTAACATATTATGTGAAGCTGGCCCTAATATATTAAGTACAAGTTCTTATAGATGTGGTTTAGGAATCACTTTCACACTCCAAGCTATGCATCCACAGACTCACCTCCCAAATCCTTCTCTTTCCTACTCTCTTTTCCCTCAATTCATAACATTCCAGAAGTACTTGACTCGGATCTACCTTCTCTCAGGCAAATGGGAGGCAGAGCCCTTGTGCCGGGAAGTGTGTGCCCTCTGCTGTCCCCTCCCTTGTGGGCCCCAAGATGGTCATGGCATCCAGTGTCTACCTACCCACTCAAGGGGACAGGTTGTTTCTAAATTGCTATTCAGAGTAAATCTTCCGTTAAAACTGAGTCATACACAGACTGATTGTGGCTTAAGTAACATTATTGGTCCTAAACTTGGGTAAAATAGGTTTTTGTGGGTTAAACTAGGACCCTAACAAATCACTGTGGCATCACACATCTGTGAGAAAAGTCCTCTTGCCCTCCCAGCAGTGACTGGTTACAAATGAGTATTTAGAGCCTGGCCTTCCCCAGCGTTGGTCTTGTCCACCTGCCGATGTGGCCCTGTCTTGAGTTACAAAGTACTGCAACTAGGGAGAACCCTGGGGCTTGGGGTGTGGCCAGCCCTGTGCTTAGTCCCCTGGAGCCTCAGCATCCTAAAGGCAGCCAGGTGGGCAGCAGTGAGGATTTTTGGCTTGTTTTCCTTCCCTTCCTTCGCTGTTCCCAACACCCCCATCTCCTGTTGTAGCCAAGGGTCCTCTTGCTCTCACAGATTCTGATGTTTCCGGAACTTCCTGTTGTGAGAAACTGAAGACTTCCTTCTCTCCTACCCCAGCGCCCACATACTAACATCCTCTTTTCTGTTCTCTGACCTTTAGAGCCTCACCAGATCCCATAGGCACTTCAGAACCCAGACTGCAGTGAGACAGGCTTTCCTAATTAACTTTACACTATAGTGACTTGCAGATTCCATGGTGAGTGATCTGGTTTACACTTCAGCAAGAAGGAGAACACCTAAGCTGGTTATGTGGGCACAATAGGTCTGCTGAAGTGTGACACCGAAAGAGGGTTTGGGATGTGAGCCTGCATGAGGAGGAGGAACCAGGCCTGTGAATGTCACCCTCCTTCCTGGGGTGAGCTGTGAGCCGCTTGGGTCTCAAACTCTGGACACTGAACTAAGAGAAGCAAAGCAAGAGCCAGAACCCCTGCCTTGCCACCCTCCTCTTCCCTCTGAGGATGCCAGGGCTGGGAGACCCCACGGGGCAGAAGGGGCACCACTGCTGGACCCACTTTCACAGACAGGGAAGCCACCGCTTGCCTCATGCTAAATCAGGGCCTTTGGGAAGAAATGGCTGAAGAGCAGCTCATCTGGGCTCTGTGGAGTGGGGCGAAGTCCCTCTTTAGGGCTTCTGAGGAGGGGCCACTTCTCAGCGTTTCAATGTCAGCCACCTCCTGAGTTCAGAGCTCTGGGCACCCCAAGAGCTTTGGCTGGTGAAGGCCCAGGCCCCTTGCTCCTGGCGGCCGTGATATTGGACGGCATCATGGTGCACAGTTCCATAGACCTGGCTGGGCCACCTTGCAGCAGTGGGGAAGGCACCCTGCTCAGACAGCGTCTGTGTGACTGGCGAGTTCTACATGTCTCTGCACCTGCTGGGAGCGCTTAAAATCAGGGAGCAGGAGACTTTATTATCGGTTCCCTGCATGGGATCTTGTAAGTGCTTAGTCCTGAGCAGGATTTCTTATATATCTACATTCATTTTCTTAGTGGAAATCCAGGGACCCAGGGTCAGGGAGTGAGAAAGGAAAGCATTCCCTGTGTGGTAGGCAGAGGCCAGGAGAGGAGTGGAGACCTCTCCCTGCTGATGAGGAGTCAGGTGCGGGGATGAATACAGGGAACAATTGTTCTGGACTGGAGCTGCTTTTGGAACCTGGAATGAATTCCCAGAGGAACTGTGGGAACCTAGCACTGTCGCTTGACTCTGCTAATTAAACTGGTTCCTATAGGTAAACATGTTGTAAAATGAAGCTGATGACTTATGAACGAACTTTGAAACTCAACGCTTTTAAAAATGAGTGATTACGACCAGCCTTGGTGGCTCACGCCTATAAATCCAGTGCTTTGGGAGGCCAAGCTGGGAGGATCACTTGAGGCCAGGAGTTTAAAACCAACTTGAGCAACATAGTGAGACCTAGATTCTACAAAAAAATTAGCTAGGCATGCTACTTGGGAGGCTGAGGCGGGAGGATCGCTTGAGCCCAGGAGTTCAAGGCTGCAGTGAGCTATGATTGTATCACTGCTCCGGCCTGGGCTGCAGAGCAAGACTCTGTCTCTTAAAAAAAAAAGGGGGTGGGGAGGGGAATGATTGTTAGAATACTCTCAACAATAATTATTCATATCCAATGGAAAACAGTTATAAAGCTTTATTGACATACAATTAACATATAGCAAACTATACTGATTTAACGGTGTAAGTGTTGACACAGGTATATACCTGTGAAACCATCACCACCATAAAGATACTGAACATGTCCATTACTCCAAAAAGTGACCCCTGATAATTCCCTCCTTCCACCTCTCCCTTCAGGTGAAGTTTTTAAAATATATGTTAAATATAAAAATGTGAAACTGCAAGGTATTTGAAGCAAGTTCAGTTGGTTGAAGCCATGTTAGGGGTATATTGGTGTTCCATGTTTATTAGAACCTGTGATACTGTGGCATAGGAAGATTATATATATATACACATATATATGTATATATATATATGTATGTATATATGTATATATATATGTGTGTGTATATATATATATATATATATAAACATTTTTAGGGGCTTTGTATTAGAAACTAGGGGCATATATATATATATATATATATATATATGTATGTAGATAAAAACCTTTGTAGATAAGGACACTAGGATTATCTTTTGTTATAATATTTGGTCTTTTAACGCTGGTTCCTGACACAGTTTTCGAGACCATTGTCATTTCCTAGGTAATAGGAGCATCTTTTCTTCTAATGAAGTGACTCTTCGGGGTAGGGGGGCTCCTGGATAGCCTCAGGATGGGGACTGGTTGCTGGGAAACCAGCCATGTGATTAGAGGGTTGGAACATTCAGCCCCACCCCATAACCTCTGGGGAGGTGGAAAGGGACTGAAGTTTGAGTTGATTCAGTAGCCAGAGATGTAACCAGTCATGCCTATGTAACAACACCTCCGTGCAAACCAAGAAGACCTGGGTTTGGAGGGCTTTGGGAAAGCTGTGGACAGGTTCCTGGAGAGTGGCACCAGAGAGGACAGGGAAGTCCAGCACCCTCCTCACATACCTTGCCCTGTTTCTCTTCATCTGGCTGTTCATCTGCAGCCTTTATCTCTTATTAATACGTGGGTAAGTGTAAAGTGTTTCTCTGAGTTCTGTGAGCCATTCTAGCAAATTGATGAAAGAAGGAAGGGGGATCATGGGAACTTCAATTTACAGCCGATCGGTTGGAAGTATAGGTGACAACCTAGTACTTGTGATTGGCATCTGTGGTGGGGGCAGTCTTGTGGGCTGAGCCCTTCACCCGGGGGACCTGATACTGTGTCCAGGAAGATAGTGTCAGAATTGTGCTGAATTAGAAGACAGCCAGCTGGTGTCCAGTAGAGAATTGTGTGGTGTGTGGGGGAAAAAAAATCCTCATATCTGGTGTCCGAAGTGTTGTGTTGAGTGGTGTGTGACAGTAGAGTAGGAAAAACAGTTTGGGTTTTTTCTTCTGAGTACTCATCTTACTTGCTGCTGTCCTGGCCAGTGGGAAGGGCTGGGCTGGACTGGACTTCAAGCTCCTTAAACTTGCACATTTCCTAACTTTGAGCCCAGCACAGGCCCCTGGTGCGTGTGGGGTGTGCCAGGGCAGCAGGAGAGGCTTTCATCAGCTCTGCTGTCTTTTCACCTGCTCCACACCCTGCCAGAGTCCAGTCACAGCTCTCTCCAGACAACTTGTGTTTCTGTCCCCTCACTGCCTGAGTGGTTTGGGTTGGATTTCATGAGTCAGGCAACACATGACTAAGTGTGGGTGTTGGCTTTTACCTCCCCTAGAGTGCTGGCAGACCATCTGTGGGGACATTCTGGGCAGATTTGGGTTGGAACATATGTAACAGCTGCAATGGCTGTGGTATTTGGCCAGGCTGAGGAAGGAGCCAAATGGAAAGGGTATGTTTAATTTCATGTCTTTGTAGAATCAAGTCTGGTATACACATCTCTCAGAGTGTGAAATCTTCAACTTGGATTTATGCATGTTTACTTGCTGTGCCGAATTCTTCACTGTGAGAAATCACCAAGCCATCCCAAGGGAGTTTGGCAATGTGGTGCTTTGCTCTGTAATGAGTGCTGGTGAGAGACTCCCTTCCAGAACTCAGCCGTGGAGCCCTGGGTCCACATGTGCAGAGGAGGCTGGTCTCATGTTGCACCCAGAAAGGCCTCTTCTCAGAGTGGGTGTGAACGGAATGAGTTGGAAGTCACTGGAGCTGCATGTGGATGGTGATATCAGAAGCTGTGGTGTGATTTTCCCTAGCAGAGCACATGTTTCTCTTTCTGTTGTTGCCATAAAGTCTGCTCCCACCCACTCCACAGCTGGCCCGACTTAAAGCAATTGCAGATGTGACCCAACCTGACCGAGTATTTAATAGCCTTTAAACTTCTGACGTTCCTGACGTTGTCTTCTTTTCCTACTGGAGAACTAAGGCGTCACCTTGAGGGGCAAATCTAGTAGGAGTTAATGGAATTTTAGGAGTCACGCATAAAAGTCTTCATGCATAAGAACTGCACTTTGACTCTCTACTATATTTTTATACTCCATCCATTCATTTATTCAACAGATATGTACTAGCAGCCTAATGTATGACAGGCATCATTCTGCACCTTGGAAATAAAATGTGAACAAAACACAGTCCCGCCCTGCAGGACTCATGGTTTTTGGGGCAGAAACCCTTACAACCAGGATACAACCTGACAATCTCTTTCCAAAGTAACAGAGCCAAATTCCTTTTTTTTTTTTTTTCCAATTTTTGTTTTTGTTTTTGACCTCCTCTGTGGACAGAGAGCCAATTTCCGAAGAAAGAAGTGCATATGAGGGGTGTGGATTAGAGAGAGCGCTAGGGTGGGTAGAGAATGCTTGCGTCTGGTCCTGTGCAGCTGAGTGGCCCTGGGCCACCTTTTCCTTGCCCTCACTTCTAGCTTCCATACATGAGAGGTTTGGGCTGCACCATCTCCACAGTTCTTGCTGCCTGAAATGTCTTAAGAGTTTATGATTCTAGAGACTCTGTGGGTAGCAGGAATAATACAAACTTCGTATCAAACATGGGGCCTACGGCCTGAGTAGAACATAAGAGTTCATTTCCATCTAATTCTTAGATGCTGACTCACAGAGTAGGAGTCCAAGTCGCTCTTGGTTTTTCCCAAATCCTCTTCCAGATCCTCCTTGGGTCTTTTCTTTTTCTTTCTCTTTTTTGAGACGGAGTTTTGCTCTTGTGGCCCAGGCTGCAGTACGATGACTCAACTCAGCTCACCGCAACCTTCGCCTCCTTGGTCCAAGCAATTCTCCTGCCTCAGCCTCCCAGGTAGCTGGGATTTCGGGCATGTGCCACCACGCCTGACTAATTTTGTTTTTAGTAGAGATGGGGTTTTGCCATGTTAGCCAGGCCGATCTCCAACTCCTGACCTCAGGTGATCCGCCTGCCTCGGCCTCCCAAAGTGCTGGGATTACAGGCATCAGCCACTGTGCCCGGCTCCCTTGGGTCTTTCAAGGGGAAGCTTAGGCAGACCTTGCTGGGGAACACTGGTGCTTCCTTCCAAAGTTTTGTTTGTGAACCACAGCAGGGTAGGAGAGCCCCATAGTTCAAGTGACCGTTCCCAGGTAATTTTTTATGTGTCTTCACTTTTCAGCTCTTTTACAATATACTGTTTTATCTCATCCACATACTTATTCACAGTTACAAATTTATTTTTAAATATTTACTTTGCTTTAAAAAATATTTTCATCTACTTGGCCTGAGCCCTTAGCATCACTGTTAAAATACTCATCTGTCTACCCATCCCTGCATTCACTCATTCATTCAACAACAGATTGTGCTAAGTCCCAGAGACATCTATGATACAGCCGTTGGACTTCACAACGTGGTAGGGAAGACAGATCTATAAATAATCACAGGCAGCAGAGTGCTGTGCCTATTGAGTGGCACTTTTGTGACCCTTGGCCAGTTAAGGCTGGCAAGTTGCAAGAGGAAGTGGATTTAAGACAGATTGTATTTTTAGAGTTGTAAAAGCACTTAGATAATTTGTTGCAAAGGGAGAGACTGTTTTTTGCAGAAAATGTTTTCAACAAGCTGTTAATTTGCTGGAAAACTGCATATTTCACTTATTCAACTTTAGCACTATGTGCTCTGCAAAAAAGGGGAAAAAAGAAAAGAAAGAAAACCCACAAGAGCAAGAGGCAAGTCTGTCTGCTGTTCTCTCCAACAGCCATGCTCCCTAGAGTGCACCTGAGAAGGGAGAGGGAATCTGCAGGGCCGTCTGCACATGTTGGGGTCCTTGTCTCTCAGATGGGTCCATCTTGCTATACTATGTGTTTAATAAATAGACAGACAGTTGTTTTAAATTTTTCTGAAAAATATGACCTCTGAATAAAAGCTGCTTACTTCATTTGGCCCCAGTCTCCAAAGTGGCATCTTCTTTAGAGATTTTCAAGGACAACTTTTTTTTTTTTTTAAGACAGATTCTCACTCTGTCACCCAGGCTTGAGTGCACTGACACAATCATAGGTCACTGCATCCTTGAACGCCTGGGCTCAAGCGATCCTCCTGCCTCAGCCTCGAGTAGCTGGGACTCGAGGCGTGTGCCACAAGGACAATTTTTTAAACTAATAGATACAGAAAATTTTACAAACTTTTCACAAACTAAATAAGTATCCAGCACCCAGGTCAAACACACAGAACATTAGCAAGCCCTAGACGTTCGTATTGTGCCCTCTTCTATCACAATCCCTCAAGGGCAACCATTCATTTTGTCTGTTTTTGAATTTTATGTAGATTTATAAAATATATATGCCTTTTGAATTTTATGTAGTTATAAAAATTGTTATATTTGTCAAATTTATCCATATTACTACACATAGTCATATTTTGTTACTTCTCATTACCGTTATGTTACTTCACTATACGAACATACTACAATTTTTAAAAATCCATTTTACTGTTGATAGGCATTCGAGGAATTTCCAGTTTCTAGCTATTGCAAGCAGTATTGCAGTAAACATTCTTGTCCATGTCTTTTTGGTGATGCATACACTTCTGTTGGGTATAGTCCTGGGTGAATGCTAGGTCTGAGGCCGGCCTTAGCTTTCGTAGATACAGCCTAATGGGTTTCTACAGGGTTGCACCAGTTTACACTCCCACCAGCAGGGTAGGACAGCCCCAGTTGCACTGCATCCTTTCCAACACTTGATGTTCGTAATCTTCATTTTTTCTATCCTGAAAGGTAATTTTGACCTGATTTTTGTTTGATTCACTGTCTTGAGAATACAATCCACACGTAAGATTGGATTCTCTCATTTTGTAGTTTCATGCTCATGCATATAGACCTCATCTGACTGGGATAGGTATGGGTGTGAATGATAGGGTAGATTCCTGGAGAAATTGCCTGTTGAGCTGATTTTGAAGGATAATGAGGAGCCATTGTGCAAAGGATCATTACCCTGGGCACATGGAAAGGCCCAAAGCCTGGAGTGCACATGGCAAGATTGAGGAACTACGTGTCTGAAGCCGAGAATGGGGATGAGAGGTGCCTCTGGAGAAGCAAGCAGGGGACAGAGCATAACCCCTTGAAGCAGATGTCATACAGCAGGTTGACCATTTTCAACTTCTCCAAGCTCACAGAGGGAGATCTCAGGCCGCGTCTCGAAAGATGTCATGTGAGTGCAGAGAGAAGGGAAAGGATGAGGGAGGGCCAGGGAACCAAGCTAACTGGCTCTTCCCTTGGCTTGGGATTCCTGAGTTACAGCAAACCATGTGGGCATCAGAAAACCAGTGTGGGAGCACCTCAGTCATGGCCTTTATTAAATAGTTGGGCTTCATTTTCTCTCTGTGTTCAGAGTATCCGGTCTAAAGTGGAGCTGTCGGTCTGGGATCAGCCTGAGGATCTTAATCTCTTCTTCACTGCTACCTGCCAAGATGGGATATCCTACCCTGGTCAGAGGAAGTGTGAGGGCCTGAAGATTGGGGACACGGTAAGTCTCACTCCAAGTTTGTATGAACTCTTGTTAGCATTGCTCATCAGTCTTTGAGTTCTAATAACTTTGTGACTTATTGGAGTCCTTTCAGAATTAGTATTCTGTTTTCCAATTCAGCTTCCCAGAGGAGTCTCCTAAACCTACTATGTATTATGTGTTCAGAATCCCAGGTGAACTTGTTAAAGAGCCCAGTCAATAGGCAGCCCTCCGCACATTGCCACCGAAGGCTTTCTCAAGTTGGCATTGTGACTTTGGTGTTTTAAACCATTATCCTCTTAGCTTGACACAGTTGTAATCAGGAGGAAGAGTACAGGTGGGAGTCGAAGAGACCTGGCTTTCATTCCTACTCTTCTGCAAATTGCTCTGTGCCTTGGATAATCTGACCCTCACATTTCCTTTTTGTAAAATGTAAAGAAAACCACTCCCCTCATTCTGTTTGGTAAAATAGAATGGATGACTGTACAGCAGTAGAGGACACAGACACCTTGTCCAGACTAAGTTTATTCAGCTGATGTGTGAAGATGTGTGCCTGTGCACTAAACCAAGGACTTGAGGCTGGGAGCAGGAAGGAGGATAGGTGGGTGACAAGAACACAGACACAGACATGGACAGAGAGGCCAGCCAGTAATGACACATCCTCTGGAGGTCGTGCCGCTGGAAGCAGATCATGAGCTCCATTCCTGACTTGCTTTGTGGACATATTTAGTGCTCAGGAAACAGAAAATCAGTGAGGGATAATTTACTTCCACACTTAAAATAATCTATTAAGAAACAGGAAAATTATAGAGACCTTACAAATAGATGGCTATGTCCTCTTGGCATTCATAGCACTAATGACGGCCAAGGCGGATATAAGCTGACTCATCCGCTGGCTTCAGGGAAAGGGCTTGCAAAGACAGGGAACAGTCACATGGCTGGTAGCAGTGGTCGCCACCAGCTTTTCCACATTCCACTGTAGAGCTTTTCCCATCCCCACTTTCACAACACACAGACATACCTCTCACCCTCCGCAAATCTTACTGTGGTGCCTTGCTCCCCCAAGTAAAGTTCACAATATCATATCGAAGTTGAGAAAATGAAGCCCTCTCATGACCAGCTACCAAGGCCTTTTCTAAGACACGTTGTTTCCAAGTTTCTTTTGCTTTTAACAAACTTGAAAGAAGGGCTAATCAGGCTGTCAGATGATAAGTCATTACAAATGATGATGATTGATTGATTGATTTTTTGGAGACCGAGTCTTGCTCTGTCACCCAGGCTGAAGTGCCATGGTGCAATCTTGGCTCACTGCAACCTTTGCCTCCTGGATTCAAACAATTCTCATGCCTCAGCCTCCCAAGTAGCTGGGATTATAGGCTTGCACCACCACACCTGGCTAATTCATACATTTTTAGTAGAAACGGAGTTTCACCATGTTGCTCAGGCTGGTCTCAAACTCCTGGGCTCAAGGGATCCTTCCACTGCAGCCTCCCGAAGTGCTGGCATTACAGGTGTGAGCCACCGCGCCTGCCACAAATGATTACTTACGGCTTTCAACTCAGAAGACACTCATAGAACAAGGTGACATTGCTGTAACAAAACTCTTGTTCCTATCTTTCTATTTATGGGAACTTTTTTTGTGCTTAAATCTCTACAAATGAAAAATAGAAATATAATTGATGCTGACCCCTGCATTGTTTAGCAATAATTAATGTTAGTTTACATCTGGCAGAAAGCCTCATCTCATCAAAGGGGTACTTCCAGTAAAATTTTACTGTTCAGTTTTAATAATTGTCAGAAGTTGCAGTGTATTTATGTTGTTTTCATCAATTATAATAATTACTCAATCCAGATGATTATAAAAAAAAAACACTAAAGCTTTGCAGTGACAGTACAGGATTTAAAGAGATAGTTATAAAAAATGGAATGAGGCAGAAATAGCCAAAAACCCTCAACAACATGTAAGTGAATTCTATAGATCTGTGGGTGGAATGTTTGGTGCGGCATGTCAGGAGAGCTGAAGGATGGTGTGGGAAATATACCCAAACAAGGAACCCTTTACTTGGAGAAATAGGTATGATGGAAAAGAGATGGGAGAGGGATGGACTATTAATCTAGCATCCACCAAGTTTCAGGAAGGCTGTCGACAATTTCTAATGACATCCTTAAAAATAAAGCAAATATTTAATAATATGTGTTGACAATAGCACAGTCAGGCACATTTGTAGCTCTCTGAGAGCGTTGATAATGCAGCCAGAGGGAGGTCTTGACTGAGGTTCCAATGTCTCTTGTCTGCTGTGTTTATCATTGGCTTGGGTTAAACTCATAGAAGACCTGCTTATCAAATATGGGAAGGTCACAGAGCTGGAGAAAACAGCTTATCTTATAAAGCGGAAAAATGAAGATATAAATGTATTTTTCAAAATTGAGCTGGATTGAAATAATGAAGATTAATGTCTGACGTTTTAGTTCAGAATATTACTAGGATATAGGAACTTAGTTTGATAGTAAAAGAAAAGCATCTGGCAGATTATAATGGCTCAAAGGCTTAATGCAAATAAACAGTGATTAAAAAAAAAGTCTGCCAGGTGCAGTGGCTGATGCCTGTAATCTCAATACTTTGAAAGGTCAAGGTGGGAGGATTGCTTGAAGCCAGGAATTTAAAACCAGCCTGGACAATAAAATGAGACCCCCATCTCTACAGAAAATAAAAAATTAGCTGGGCATGGTGGTGTACACCTGTGGTCTCAGCTACTCAGGAGGCTGAAGCGGGAAGATAGCTTAAGCCTAGGAGTTCGAGGCAGCAGTGAGCTATGATCACACCACTGTACTCTAGTGTAGGTAACAGAGTGAGACCCCATCTCTTAAAAAAAATAAATAAATAATGGCTGTGCACAGTGACTCACACCTGTAATCCCAGCATTTTGGGAGGCTGAGGCTTTAAAATGGTTGATTGCTTAGGCTCAGGGGTTCAAGACTAGCCTGGGCAACATAGCAAAACCCAGTCTCCCCCAAAAATACAAAAATTAGCTGGGTGTGGTGGAGAGCGCTGTAGTCCCAGCTACTTGGGAAGTGGAGGTGGGAGGATCGCTGGAGCTCGGGAAGTTGAGGCTGCAATGAGCCATGATTGGGACACTGCACTCCAACCTGGGTGACAAAGTAAGACCCTGTCTCAAATAAATAAATATAAATATAAATAGCAGGCCAGGCGCAGTGGCTCATGCCTATAATCCCAGCACTTTGGGAGGCCAAGGCAGGTGGATCACCTGAGGTCAGGAGTTCGAGACCAGCCTGGCCAAGATGGTGAAACCCCTCCTCTACTAAAAATACAAAAGTTAGCTGGGCATGGTGATGCACACCTATAGTCCCAGCTACTTGGGAGGCTGAGGCAGGAGAATCGCTTGAACCTGGGAGGCAGAGGTTGCAGTGAGCCGAGACTGCACAACTACACTCCAGCCTGGGTGACCAAGCGAGACTCCATCTCAAAAAATAAAATAAATAAATAAAAAGTAATGCCAGTTGAAGCTGTGTTAATAGAGATATTTTGAAACCTCACATCTGAAGTTCCTTATTCAGTTATTTTTTTATTTTTAGAGACTGGGTCTTGCTCTGGTTCCCAGGCTGCAGTACAGTGGCTCGATCATAGTGCACTGTAACCTCCAACTCCAGGGCCCAGGTGATCCTTCCACCTCAGCCTCCCAAGTAGCTGGGACCACAGCTGCACCACCATGCCCAGCTAATTTCTTTGGTTTTTTTTTGCAGAAACAGAGTCTCGCTATATTGCCTAAAATGGCTTTGAACTCCTGGCCTCAAGTGATCTTCCTGCCTTGGCCTCCCAAAGTGCTGGGACTACAGGCATGAGCCACTGTGCCTAGCCCAGCCCAGTTCTTTTTTGAAAAAGAAAAGTGACAAGCAACTATCACGACGAACTGTTTAGAAACTAGGAAGGGCAAAGGAACTAATATTTGTTGATAGTAAGATTGTAAAGTCAGAACTCTTTTCAGATGTAAAAAAACTGAAGCCAATTTATGCTGTCCTAAGTGAAACGGAGAAAGTCATTCTAAATATATTGGGGTTCCTCATGGAATATGAAGTGGAAATACAGTTAGTCTTGGGAAGGACCAGAAACGATCTAGTCAGTGAGTGGTTCTGTGTTCACTAATTCCCTGTGAGGAAGACATTGTTATTCATGCTGACAGATGGGGAAGACTGAGGCACAAAGCATACAGGTACACAGCCTGTAAGTGTCGAAGGGAAAATGCAAAGCCAGGGCTTTCCGTTCTGAAGCCAGCTCCCTCACCACCTTTATCCGGCCTCTTGGTGCTCACAATTCTATTCTACCAAACCTACTTCAAAGGGCTCTACCGGCGCAAAGTATGATCCTGAGGAACAGGAGCCTCCACGGGAGAGTGCCGCTGACTGAGCCCCCCTGCACCATGTGGGGAGCCCAGCACTTGCACACTGCTGACGCACAGCCTGGGATTTGAGGATGAGCATGACCTGACCCAGCTCACCCAGCTAAGAGGCAGTGAACTCACAAGCCAAACCAAGGCCTTTCTCCATCCACACCAGGTCATCCCACTCATCCCACTCCCCATTACAGAGCAAATGGTATTTGTTAGCATGGAATAAGGATATCCAATGTGCCCTGTCCATTGTGCCCCTTAACTGTGGTGGGTGCATTACTGCTGCTGTCTGCTTCTTATAGCAGCTTTATAAGGGAGCTATTCCTTCCCCATTTTATGTATGAAAAACTAAGACTCAAAATGGGGCCTGAGAAGCACGGCAGAACCCTCAAGCATCAGGAGCCAAGTCGGGGGCTGCTTCTGAGGCCACAGTGCATGTGTTTCCCCTATGCCTCATGCAATTTGGGAGTGACAGCTTCGAGGAAGCATACAGTGGTGTCGTGGCCACTTGTGGATGACATTCTAGTGTACAGATTTTTATTTTTGCTGGGATACCTCAGAAAAATGGGGAAACTGTCAGAGCTTAGAAATAGATTTTACATGATTTTCAAATGC